ATGTCTGTCGGTCTGCCTGCTGATGTTGGTAAGCACACGTTCCACTTGTCTCTGAAGAGGGAGAAATAGCCTTGATTGAGACCAGCCAATGGAACTGAAGGGAGTGTGCTTGTAAAGCACATAGTTGCCACAGATAACATGAACTACGGACCAAGTTAATTGAAGGCCAACCTTCATTAAATTGGTGATTACATAGTTGAGTGGTGCATGTCATCTAGAGTATTTTTCAGGAAAAATATTTGAGGAGAATTTGGAATATCACAAAAGGAGAGAAAGGGATGTGATATAGGTCACTGTGTAATGCTGGCTGAAATAAAGATGAGCCTGTGAGAAGCTTAAGAGGTGTAAAAGCAAGAATAGGGAAAACAATAAGAATAGGAAAAAAGGAAGATCAAAGACAGTGGGGGATGAAGCTGTAAAGACCAACACCTTTGATACAGAAAAGTTTGTAGTAACTGAGCATGTCTTTTGCATTTATTTGCATTTCTCTAGTTCTAGAATTATATTCAGAACCTTCACACCAATGTTACTCCCACTTTTAGGGTTTGACAGGAAATCCGGGTGTTCAAGGCCCTGAAGGAAAACTTGGCCCCTTGGTAAGTGACACAAAAACTTAGTACTTTCAGTTAATGCCAGATTAATTCAAGGGTCCCAACTCACTGAAATTACTTTATGAACTTGAGTTTTCTTGATTTCTGAAGGTTCATCTTCTAACTGTTCACCTTAGATTCCTGGCTCCAAAATCAATGCAGATACTGTATGTTTAGTTTCGCCTTTGCAGCAGTATCTGTTGTTTAGCAGCTGCTGCAACATTTTTAAGCCATCTTGAACTCAGTATCTTTTCTAATTATCTCTTCAAGGAAACAGTAAAGTATCTGTACACAGTGGCTCTATTATAAAAATTGCATAACATTTGGTTAAATCCAGCAGGATGGCTAATGCTGTGTCTGCCTTACAGACCTGTTGATTGATAACTGTAGCACCAAATTAGGTTAATGTTATTTTTTTATATATACAAACATTTTCCAGGGGTAAATGGGTTCATAAGAAGACATATATTTAGAATTTAATGTGGAAAATGCTTTATCTCTGTAGGGTGCTCCTGGAGAAGATGGACGCCCAGGTCCTGCAGGTTCAATAGGAATCAGGGGTCAGCCAGGCAGCATGGGCCTTCCTGGGCCAAAGGGTAGTAGTGTGAGTATGGCATCTGGTACCCAAGATCTGTTTAACTTTATAAACATTTGCAGATATCTTAAAGGATGAAAATGGTATCTAAAACCAGTAATTTTTAATTCTGCAAATCAGGGTGATCCTGGAAAACCCGGAGAAGCAGGCAATGCAGGTGTCCCAGGACAGAGAGTGAGTGTGACTGCTATTTGCAATGATTACAAAACCCGATGCTTTTCTGTTTTATATGTTCACTATGTCAATTTTAATTCAGGGAGCCCCTGGTAAAGATGGAGAAGTTGGTCCTTCTGGTCTTGTTGGCCCACCAGTAAGTCAGCTTTTACCACTCTGCCTACCTGCCAGTCAGTCCATCCATTTATTACTCTTCTCCTGTTTTTATCTATCTTCATGCCAGTTGTTGATGCCAGTCAAAAAATCACAAGAACGTTTAAAGAAATCTTTTTTCCTAGAAAATGGGAAATTTTGTATTGAATAATATATTGGTAGTTTAATTTCTTTTACTGACCATTACAAAAGTTAGGGCAAGGAGCAAAATTTTCTCATAGTTCATATTCCTAGCTTCCTTAGTTTCAATGGAACTGAGCATTTCCCTGTCAGCACAGAACTTTTTGGTGAAAATCTTAATAAGATACATCTTATTACATCTTTTAGGTAGGGTATGTCTTGGCCTGGGGAAGTAAACATGTATAATGAACAAACACATAATTGAAAATATACATATTCAGAGAGAAGAAGAATTGTGGAGCCTGCCTGTATTCCTCTGCTGTATACTTACTACTTTCTTTTGTGTAGGGTCTAGCAGGAGAAAGAGGAGAACAAGGCCCTCCAGGTCCTACAGGGTTTCAGGTATGTGTATTCATGTTTTACAGAAAGATTAAAAAAATTATGTCAACTTAAATTGGAGAAATTCACATAAGTGATGTATTACAAAACACAGCGTCAGAACTAAGACAGCGATGTTAAGAATAATGAGCGTTACTTAGCTTTCACATCAGCTGTGCACTAAACTGAACTGGCAAAGGCTTTGAATACCAGCTCTGTATCCCTTGAGAGAACCTTTGTTGTTTTTCAGTTTTAATTTGGAGATTTTCCAAAGATGTTCCAAATATAGAGCAAAAGAATTGTTTTGATAATGAAATATTAATTAAGTCAATCTCTATTAATAGAGAACTTTATTTGTAGGGCTGATAAGCCTTTGTCCTACAAATTAACATTAAAGAAGGGCTGCCATCTCATTTAGAGCAGGGAGAACACTACGGTGCAGTATTCATGTAACTTTTCCTTGGGGATCTCTGACAGTATACTCTAGTATGGAGTATAATACCGCGTTGACATTCTTGGTGTCTTAGTTAAACCTGGATTTACATAATTTTCTATCTTCTTAATCATCATTTTGTTTACTTTTTTTACAGGGTTTGCCTGGGCCACCAGGTCCCCCAGGAGAGGGAGGAAAGCCAGGTGATCAGGTAATTTCTGTGTAATTTTACAAGAATTCACTTTTAAAGTAGTTTTACCTTTTTTTTTTCTCTTTGTAATTTAATTTCCCACTCTATTTCCAAACGGGTACTGATGTAGTCTGACAGCTGTCTGAGGACTGCTTTTGGATAAAATAATTGCTAGAATCTGACCAGTGTCTTGGACTGATTGGGACAATCTCCTCCTGTCTTGGACACATAATATTCAGAACTAGCCATCTACGTTCACAGTACTTTGGAAATTAAAATTTTTATCTCTAACTTGCATAAGTGTAAGGCATTATTCATAAATAATGCTTCCACTCTAATGGTGGGTTCTGTTCTGCTTAGGGTGTGCCTGGAGATCCTGGAGTGGTTGGTCCATTGGGCCCTAGGGTAAGTGTTTTCTTTCAGAGTTTAAACATTCGTAAGAGTTCTCTGAGGTTGAAAGTTGATACAGAATGTGGACTTCAACAGCTAAAGTGAGTATTTGACTTTTTCCCCACCAACAGAATGGTTGTAAACATGGATATATTTTAAGATGGTTTCTGTAAAACCTACCACCTTTAATGGTTTTTTAGCTCATGCAGTGGTGTTGAGTACTAGCTGCTGAATGATTTGGTTTACAGCTGTGAAATGACAGTTTTTAGTTTGCTGATCAACATGCTATTTCCCCTGCCTTTAACAATAAAAGCATAAAGTTTTTTTATTTGATCAGTTCTCCTAGACCTTGTTCACAGGCTCTTTGTTCAAATAAATAGCAGTGCAGCAGTTACAGTGTTTTCAGGATTTTGTCTACCAGAACTGTACCCTGATTTCCAAATAATTAATAATTTTCAATTTTGTAGGGAGAACGTGGCAATCCAGGAGAGAGGGGAGAACCAGGTGCATCAGGACTCCAGGGTGAAAAGGGTATGGCTGGAGGTCATGGTCCTGATGGTCCAAAGGTAAGCTGAATGGAGGTTTGTCTTGCTGCAGTGATGTAATGTATGATACTGCTCATGCACACAAACATAAAAGAGGGGCCTTTTAATTATAAAAGGGATAGCTCATATAAACAAGATCTCTTTCATGAAAAGGGCTCTAGGGGGACATAAAATCCATTTTTATACCAGTATAAAAATATTAATAAATTGCAAGATACTTAAATGTTGAGAAATCACAGTTTGTATTAATTTATATAGGTCTGAAGTTTAGAATGGCTTTTGTGCTTCTCAGTAAAACTGGGCAAATCCATTTCTGAACTGCCGAAAACCTTTTAGCAATGTTTTAAGAGCCATTTCAGTTTCCACAAAGACATTTGGCAGGGTTGAATGTTTAAAAGAAAATGCTGAAAACAGCATGCATTTCTTTCACCTGCAATCAATTTAATTGGGCTTAGGAAGGTCACCCCAAGTAGGGATTGTCTCTAGTAATGTGGGACGTGAGCTGTGAGAAGCAATGCATAAATACAGCAACTCCGCCCCGGCAACTTCCACCTGTAGCTACTTTGTGTAATAGAACCATGTGGCATCAAGGTAGAAGGATGTTTGAGTTTGTTTTTTTGCCTGTTCTCATGCACTGAATAAATACTAATGTCTTTGGAAGGACTACAGTATTACAACTGAACTTCCTGAGTAACACAATGGGAAAAGAAAAGTATTTGGACATGAATAAAGTCCAAATTTAAGAGAAAATAATTACTTAAAACCTTACCCCAGAGATTTCAACACAGACACAGTGTGTTCTGCAGCCTGGAGACAAAGATACTTCACAGATGAATAGACAGCAACTTGTTCTTTATTTGCTTCAGGGAAGCCCAGGCCCTAGTGGGACGCCTGGTGATCCAGGCCCACCAGGACTTCAAGGTATGCCTGGAGAAAGAGGGATCGCTGGAACACCTGGCCCCAAGGGTGACAGAGTGAGTGTTTATTTCTGTTGTCCTGAGACAAGTCACCTGTCTCTTAATACTGACATTATTCCAGGGTGTTCAGCATCTAGTGTCATAACTGAGACTTTTTCTGGGTATTTTCCATAGGGCGGCATAGGTGAGAAGGGTGCTGAAGGCACAGCTGGCAACGATGGGGCAAGAGTAAGTAAATCCATCACCCTTTTTAGACCTGTTCTTCACTCACCAGGTTGTTTATTGTGCTAGCGGTTTAACTCAACTCATGGAGTTAAACGCTACTCAGCCTGGTGATATCATGTGCACAGTGGTTTGGGATGTCTATGTCCCAAATCCCTTTTTTGTATCATCAGTAGTGGGAGTTAAGATGTCAAAGAAAAGGATTCCCTGAAGTAGCGTGTTGATTTGGGATTCAGCTAAGCTGACTATAGTAAAAATATGGAAAAAGGGATAGGCAGAATATATATAACCAAAAAGAAGCCCTTCCATCTCTGACTCTTGGACTAAGGCAGATTCCACCTTATTGCTTGGACTGAGTTCTCCATGGTCTGTCCTGAGTTTCACAGGTGAAAATTCCTGTAAATGTACTAAGCTCCGTATGGGCAGTAAGTCATTGAGTCTACTGGACAGCTTTGAATCTCCTATGCATAAATAACATGGCTAGTCTGCTCAAGTCATGTTACATTCACTCTTACATTCATTCTGCATAGACCAACTGTGCAATAATCCCAAAAGCACTGGGTTTGCTGTGTATGCGCTGACCATGTTTTCTTCCCAGAAGTTGAGTTACTTTTTACATGAATCTCATCTATCTGAGAATCTTGGGTTTTGCAGACCACTTGGTGTACTAGCTGCTAGGTATTTGCAGAACTGAGGTACATTCAGAAGATAAGGGTTCTGCCTGGACTAAATTTATTGTTAGAAGAGTAAAAGGTTTTTGGAGAAACCTTAGTATGCAGAAGTACTAACTTAAAACTGTCAGCTGTGAGCTGGAATAAGTTGTAGAAGTCAGATACTATCCAAAAATACACAACAGTTCCTAGTCATTGTAAGATGTGTTCTTAGCTTGCAGTGACTGGTGAGCAGGTAAAGTAATGGTGAGGTAAATGTACATCCCTGTTCTAAAGTCAGGTATTTGCAGATATCTCTGCTAACGACCACTAGACCATTAATGACATTACAGTATCTGTTGTTAATGCCTTCTTTTTCTGAATTTCTCTACAGTTTGAACTAAGTTCCAGTGCAGTTCTTTCATGAGAGGGGCAATTTTGTTCAAGGCAAACTTGGTGCAAGTTTTGGTACTCTGCTTCTAATTAAAGAGAACTGTAATTGGGATATCTAAATATTCAGGAAGGTAATATAGTTAGTGCCGTGGGATCATTATGTGGAGTTGATGGGTCTGGATGGAGAATTTGCAGCCTAACTGCCCCTGAAGAGACAAAGGACGCTTGAGGAGTTTGCAAGATAACAATGAATCTCCAGAAGTAGTGATGGACACTTTAACGTTAATTTAAACAGTTGAATACTAGCGTTAGAGAAGGAGCCTCTGTGCAGGTGGGGAAAAAGGACTTAATTTTCTCTTGAGAGAGCAAAATAATGCCAGTGGGTGTTTTTTTAATTGTTGGCTTTATGCATAAACACTACATAAAGGAAATGAAGTCAGTGAAAAAAGAGAATGGAGGAAAGTAGGTCCTTTGAGATGTGGGATTTTGGCCACTGGGAGAGGAAATTCAAGTATTTTTTAGATAAAGATGACCCAACACGTTTTCTGAGATAAAGGAGAAGAATTTAAAGGAATGAAAAAGCGTATGAAAATACTAACATATGAGAAGATTTAAACTAACTGTTTTGAAGCACAACTTCTCTAACTTCTTTTCATCTTAATTTTTCAAAAGGGTCTCCCTGGTCCAATAGGCCCAATGGGTCCAGCAGGTCCCACTGGTGAAAAGGTAAACAGATTTTTATTCAGTTCCCTACTGAAGTTTCTTAATATTACTTGGGAAATAATAACTTTTAATTTCATTTTAAGGGTGAACCAGGTCCTAGAGGTCTAGTTGGTCCTCCTGGCTCCCGCGGAAACCCTGTGAGTAAACTTGTTCAGGTTTTGCCTGACATAAATTGACAATATATAACACTTACCCAGACTTCAGCCATTTATCTCATTTGCTGATATATTTTCCTCTTTTTCTCCCCATTCCTTTGTAGACAAATTCTGTAGTGCCACTTGATGCTGTGCACTTGCAAAACAATTAGCAGATTTTGTTCCTTGGTCCTATACTTGTGTTAGGGCAAACTTTACAGAGGTTTACCCTCATTTACCTCACTCCTGAAAGCACACCACTTCTGAACGAGCATGCCCATACCAAATACTGCTGTAAACATACAAATATTTAGATGGACAAAGCACAGAGGTATACCTGAGTTCCTCTAGTTATGTTAACTTGTCATATTCTGTTTATTTGTGATTTTAAGGGTTGACTTTGATTAGGGAATTAGAGGCTCAGCCCTTCTATAGCCTTCATACTGCTTGGAATTGATTATGCCTCTGTCATAAATCAGAGCAATCTTATTTCCAGTATAAACTGGAACAGCTTCCACCCCTCTAAGGAGTGCTGGAGCTTGGCAGCCTTCAGCTCCTTCTTTTCCAAACAAATGTTGTGTGGAAAGCTCAGTTGAAGCAGCTCATAGCCCATTCTGATCTTGTAGAAGAATACATCTTTGAACTACTGTGGCTTTTTCCCAGTCTATCTGATTAGAATATGCATAATATGTGTGCTCTTTGGCTAATTGTGCTCTTTCTGGAAGTAGTTGTGAGCAGAATTTCACCTACCACAGTTTAAGTGCTTTTGCTCATGCCTTTCATCTCTAAATTTTGAATTTATAGTCTTGAACACAAGACAGATGTTAACATCACAGTTAGCATTGCTTATGATTAAAAGTTCATTAATTCTGATTAATAGAGCAAAAGTGTAAGCACATTTATGATAGTAAATAGTTAACATCCTTCCTTGTATATTTAACTGTGAATTATTCTGTCTATAGAAAGACGATTGTTAAATACAATTACTCTAATTTTTTTGGCCAGGGTTCCCGAGGAGAAAACGGCCCAACTGGAGCTGTTGGTTTTGCTGGTCCTCCGGTATGTGTTTTGTGACACTAATGAGTTTCCTTTAGTCATGCTTTGACATAGTTAGTTTCCTTCATTAGGAATAATGCTGCAGTGTTCTGGAACGTGAATCACATTTTTGTTGCAAAAAGAGCTGTTTCTTTTTCAAGTAAAGGGCCAATAAATACCCTAGACAGTTGAAAAGTGATTTTGTTGATAAAATTATGTAATTGTTCACCAGATTTCATATTTTCATGAATATGCTATATTGCTCCTTTGAGATTAAAATGAGGCAAGTTACAAAGTCACATCTACTGAAGGTAGCAAAGATTTGTGCTGTGAGTAGCAAAGGCCAGAATAAGTTGATGGACCAAATGGAAGGTTTATGAGTTTTCCACTGAATACCCTAAACTTTCCCACAGCCTAAATACTCTGTTTCAGACCTTTTAAAAAAGTCAGGCACCTGCTTCTTTTGGTGGGGAAAAAACAAGACTGGAAAAGACAAATACCTGTTTAGTCCCTTTTACTTTTAGGTATGTAATAGCTGCTGAGGAAAATAGAAAATGTAAAGAAAAATAAAATGTGAGCTAGATAAGAAAATATTTTAAATGGAAATACTGACTTCACAGACTGTTCAGAAAATCTCATCTGTGATCTTCTAAAGGCTGTGGTGAACTGTTACAGTTCTCTTGAACTGAACTGTTAAGCAAATGCTGTGTTTTCTGGGCTCTTTTTCTCCTATTATCCTTTGCCTTCTAGAAATTCCCTACAAAATTACTTTGTTAGGCTGGAAAGATTTGCTATTTTCTGACCTGATGTCTCTCTTAAATATTATTTCTCTCCTAAATATTACTTCTTATAGGGCCCTGATGGTCAGCCAGGTGTGAAAGGTGAACCTGGAGAACCTGGACAGAAAGGAGATGCTGGATCTCCGGGACCCCAGGGTCTTGCTGGGTCTCCTGGTCCACCAGTAAGTGCAAGTAATGTATTTGGAGAACCAGTGGCAGAGGCTGATCTTGCATATTTAAAATGTCCTGGGTGTTCACTATCACCCTCTCATTCTTCTTTCCTCTTAGGGTCCTCCAGGTGTTCCTGGTCTGAAAGGTGGTAGAGGAACTCAGGGTCCACCTGTAAGTAAATTTTAGTATTTTTTGTGACCTGACTGCAGATAATCTAATGAAAAATGAAATTTTATGCAGTGTGTCTGTCATTCCTCGTCTCTGCTTGGTTTTCAGTCTGTAATTATTTATATAACTTGTAATATGCAATATTATACATTTATTATGTGTCATATATTATACAGTATTTAATACATATAATAACATATTAGGTATAGTAATGCATACTATATTATATATTACATATTAACTTGGTTAATTATAATATATAGTTATTATTTGCTTACTGATTTAACTGAGAACATCTGAGGTGTATCCGAGTGCTGTATTTCTGGCAAAAAAGTTGGCATTAAAATGTTTGTTTTTAGGGTGCTACTGGATTCCCAGGATCTGCTGGAAGAGTTGGGCCTCCAGGGCCTACTGTAAGTCAAGTTTCATATTCCTAATATGTGTGTTTTATAAATTACTTGTTGAAAACTTTAAGACTGAATAAAGCAGGAAAGGTGAAGAAGTGTTTTATGGGCTGATGCTATAGAGAACAGCTTGTCAGCACTGACTTCTGTGACTGCATGCTCACATCTGACTGTATTAGATAAACTCATCAGTCTTGGGCTTGATCCAGTGTCAGCGTGTCCAAATTAGTGCAAGATTTTACACTGGGTTAAGTAGGCTTCGAGTTGTGCAAGCTGCTCTAATGACTTAATTGCTTACAGGAACAAAACAAGAACTTATATTGTCTTGTACTTTTTACTTTTTTGTCCCTTCACTGGTGACTGAAGTTAGGAGAATTTTTGGGAAAGGAAGGGGCCCCTGCCAGGCTATTTCATTGGTGGATCACAAGATCCATTAAAATAAATAATACTATAAAAAACCCCACCAAACCCACAAAATCTCTTATATCTAAACATTTTCAGAAACACACACACACAAAAATTATCTGTCAATCAACAAGCGAGGATTCAACTCCACACAGAGAACTGTCACTCTCTTTGTATGCCTTTTAATGTTTCGATTGCATTCATTGTGAGTTTATCAAAAGGTGACATTTATGGAAAGCATAATATATGTGACGTTTTTTAAGAGTATTTGAAAAATTAACAAAGGTCCGTTTAAAACACTAATTTATACTACATGAACTAAAAGTTTGAGTGTGGTCTTTAGCTCAGTGATACTGGGAAGAAGGGGAAAAGGTGAGTTTTTAGCAGTAGTTGTACACCTGAGGTTAAAAAAAAGTGTAAGGAAGGAGTTTGGAATTGCAAGTTGGAGGGGAGCTTGGACATGATCTGATGTTTGTTTCATCTTGTTTATGAACTAATAATAGCTTTTAGCTCAGTCACACTTTGGGCCTTACTTCAGCATGTGCGTATTTATAGTTAATCGAAGTACAGTCCTTAAAATTTTATTGTCCTCATCAGAAAAGGGTCCAATGTAATGAGGTATTTTAATCTTCCTAGGGAGCTCCAGGGCCCGCTGGTCCTATTGGTGAGCCAGGAAAAGAAGGTCCCCCAGGTCTTCGTGGTGATCCTGGTTCTCATGGCCGTGTGGGAGATCGAGGGCCAGCTGGGCCTCCTGGTGGTCCTGGAGACAAGGGTGATTCAGGGGAAGATGGGCAGCCGGTATGTCCTGGTTGATGTTACTGACTCTCCCTTGGCCAACTCTAGACTTGGTCTCGTTGATACTTACCCTTGTTGCTACTGAAATGTTTTATCCTGTGTGGTTTTCAGGGCCCGGATGGACCCCCTGGTCCAGCAGGAACTACTGGTCAAAGAGGTATTGTTGGTATGCCAGGACAACGAGGGGAAAGAGGCATGCCAGGGCTACCAGGTCCTGCAGTAAGTAACAACCAAGTCAATATGCCACTAGCTGGGGCATTCTCATAATATTTGTGGGATTCAGAACATAGTGCCCCATAGCTCGAGGAGAAAATTGGAAAACTCCAATTGTAGGAGAAAATATAGAAAGAATAGTAAGTGGTTAAATCCCAGGCAGGTGCATGAGGTGGAAGATTTTGTTTCTGCCATAAGGGAAGGTCTCAGTCTGAATCAAGAGTAAGTGGATAATGGCATTAAGACTGCTAGCCAGAATGTTCCTATTTGACTAAAACTAAAAACTTGGGGGGAAAAAAGAAATAAATCCCAAACTCATCATTTAGATACCCAAAGGTCATTGAATGTAAATACTCTGTAACTGCTGTTCCATACGTTGTGAATTATGGACTTCAAAATTGCCATTTGTGCTTTGCTTTAAGGTAGGATTTATAGATATTTATTGGATAGCCTAATGATCCAGGAGATCAAGTCATTAAATAGTCTATTACTAAAAGGGATGGTATGCAGGATCTGCTGTTACCACTGGATCCATAAAATCAATTCATAGGTAAAGTTGGCCAGAAATTATTCCAGACTAATAAGATTTGTTGGTATTGAGATGGAAAAAAAAAAAAACCAAACCCAACCCCAAAAAAACCCAACAACAATAAAAAAAAACATGTTACTTACTTCAAACTACATTGTATTTTTCCAGGCGAAATATATTACCTGTTGCAGATAATGCCATCAGACATAGATACATCAGCAAGGATTTTTTGTGCTTTCTTTGTTTTGCAATTAGAATTTTGATATATTTCTCACCTTTTTCAGGGGACACCAGGAAAACAAGGTCCCACAGGGCCACCTGGTGATAAAGGTCCCCCAGGACCTATTGGCCAGTCAGGTGCCACTGGACCTGTAGGTGAAGCTGGTCCAGAGGTAAGTATTAAAACCTCATAATATGTAAAAAAAAACCCGACCCCAAACAAACCCTAAACAAAAAAAAACAGTCCAGTGATTATTCTCCTTGACTTGAAGTCAGGGGTGGAGAACTTTCTAGTTCTTATGGCAATTCAGGATGACAGAGTTGATCAATACTCTCTATTTTTATTCCATAACTCTAGGGACCTGCTGGCAATGATGGTACTCCTGGACGAGATGGAGCTGTTGGAGAACGTGTAAGAATACATTGTCTTCTTCAGTCACTTCTGGAAATCTCCATTTTATTACTGACTTATTGTAGATTTTCTGTCAGTTCAGTTAACTTGAATGGGGAAGTTGTTCTGAAATTATATCACAGCTTTGAATAAGTAATGCCTCACAAAGCTGAGGAAACCTGGCCAAGAACACCCACTTCCACAAACTCAGACTTGAGTTCTTACAGAATTAGTATCTTTGTGGATTCTAATTACTAGCAAATAAATTAGTAATGCTAGAGTCCTGTTGCTTTGGTCTAGTATAGTCTAATCCTCTTTAATGTTGAAATTATGTTTTGCAGGGTGATCGTGGTGAACCTGGCCCTGCAGGCTTACCAGGTTCCCCTGGGGGCCCAGGAACTCCAGGTCCTGTTGGCCCTCCAGGAGATGCAGGTCAAAGAGGTGAAACTGTAAGTGAGACTTTTTTTTTTACTACTTTTTAACTTAAAACCCCAAACCAACGAAAACTATTGTGTATGCTTTTGTGCATTGCTTCACGTATCTTCTGTATCCAATCTTCGTAGGGTTCTCGAGGTCCAATGGGTCCCCCAGGTCGTGCAGGAAAAAGGGGTTTGCCTGTAAGTATTCCATGGTCACTGTGGTTTTGTCTGAGTTACATTTTAAAGGCAAGTGCCTGAGAAATTGAGCCCAAATGAGAATACTAAACAGGGCTTCAACTTTTAGTGAGGGCTTCAACTTCTAGTGTTCTGATTGCAAGTGGATGCAGGTAGTTTTCTGAGCTGCAAAGCTGTACAAATTTATTTGGATACGCTTGTGTTTCTAGACTTTCTATAGCAACACTGCAAAGAAATAATGAATGCTTTGGAAGCCTATTTATTTGGAGTGTGTTGCTGTCCAGATGATGGTAGGAACTCAGCAAATTGCTGGAGTCTGTGTTTGACAATTCGAATAAGGGGTAAGGAAACAAATGCTGAACAAAAAGGCACATTTTTAGACAAAAATGGCAGAAATATAACAAAATCACCTGTTCCCATGAAACTGCCTTAATTCAACTCATGACATTGACTTCAGTCCAAATGGAAAAACAAACAAAACCCATCTTTTGGCATTACATAACTCTTTTACAATCCAAGCTTGGAACAAAAAATGAATTGCAATCTTGGGAAATTCAGAATGTTGTCCTGTCCTTAAGCAGATGTCATATGAGAGACAGGAAAGGTTTATTGAGTAGTTAGTGATAATGATGCCATTGATAAACTATTTGGAATCTGGCATTGAGAAATTTAGCATGCAATTTGGGCTGAGAAATACAGAATTGAAAGCAGAAGCCATATTTTCCAGTGATTCTTGAATTAGTATGAAAAGTTTGAAACTATTAAAAATAGAAAGAATGAAATTGTGATGGTAATAGAACCAAGCTATTTGTACTGGGGAGCTTGAACATTATTGTCTGTAGTTAGGGAATGTAACTTCACTGTACTTTAATCATAGTGAAGGTGAAAGGAGCTGCAGAAGCAAAGATGCAACATGGAGGATTTCATACTGAAAATACGTTTTACCATTATGAGTCTGTGAGAGATCCACAATATTTCAATCTCATCTACAAAAATCATTTGCCATATCCAGTAAGGCAAAGAAATTTCTCAATCTTAAAAATTTTAGGTAAATTATTTAGTATCTTTATTGCAAGCTTTTTGTGACTGTATTATGAAGCTAAATAGACTAAATTTACCACAACTAAGCTATAATTAAGCACATCATTTTCTGTAATTATTTACTTATTCTTTGGTAAAAAAATAAGGATCTTGGAGCTGCCCCAGCATGACCTTCTTTCTAGTTTTAGAAGGGGGTCTGAATGCAGTGTCTAAAAGTGAGTGAGGGGTTTTTGAGGCTGGGGATTTTTTTCCAGTTCAGAATTTTACATTTCAACACTGATTTTCACAGGGTCCCCAAGGACCTCGTGGTGACAAAGGTGACAATGGAGATCGAGGTGACAGGGGCCAGAAAGGACACCGGGGCTTCACTGGGCTTCAGGGTCTTCCAGGTCCTCCTGTAAGTTGTTCTGTTGATTCTATGATACTATAATTTTACTTCCTTGATAGTTAAATAATGTATCAGGAACACAGTTATTTAAAATGGAAAAAAAGGCAAACATCAGGGTTTTTTTCCCCAAAAGAGGTGTTTGTGAGTTGCCTGTCTGTACTTGTTAATATTTTTAATGTAATTTTGCAATACTGTTGTATGATGAAGTAAACCTGTGCTTTGCAAATTGTTATCCTACTCTTGTTCCATTTGTGCCAGTCACAAAGTTGATAACAAAGTTTTGTTGATAACAAACTTTGTCAGCACAAGTTGATGACAAAAGTTGATAGTTTCAGATAAGCACTTTAGTGTGAAATGCTTTTTGCCAGTGTTTGAACTCTTTACAGTCAAGGAATCAAATGCAAAATCCTAGGATTACTGTGATAGTATCTCACTGATATTTTCAAAAACTTCATGATTTCAGTGGCAATTGAATGGAAGTACCGTGGAAAACTTATTTTTTTTTCCACTTGTTCACTGATTCTGTGCAAGAGCTGGAAGTTTAAACATGCAGGAAAAGAGTCAACAAGAAAATCCCACATCCAAAGCATCTTTCCACTTCATAGTAGTGCTGTCAGTTATTCTTTTGTAAGCCAGTCTGATTCTAAATTTGATGAAAGCAAGGCCTTTCTGCAGAAACAACTTTAGATACAGCCAAGCACCAGAAAATTCTATTAATCTAAACTGATTAGTTGTTACTCTGTGACAAAAGAGAACAACAGACTGAAAATTAATCATAAGAGGGAAAGGTACTACTGACTGCTTATGTGTATTATAATCCTATTCCTACAGAATTGTGTATATCACACAGTAAGTCTTTAAAGGAATATGCTTTAAATGCCAGAGTGATATGGTAATTTCTTCTTTTTAGGGTCCTATTGGTGAACAGGGCAGTCCTGGTATTCCAGGCCCATTTGGTCCTCGGGTGAGTGTTATGTTTAAGGTTTTTCGTGCTTGTTTTTGTCTACAGTCAGATTTCTGTTTCTGCTTCACTTTTATTTCACTGTTTTTTATCGACTTCAGTATCATGTAGTGATTACTATCTTTTGCTGACAGTCATTACGTCATTTAATGTAGTAGTTTTGACATAAGTATAGTTTATAGCTAGAAAAAAAGTCAGTTCAGAATAACTACAGGGCTAGTCTCTTTTTACAGACACTTTTGCTGAAGCTGATGCAAAGCCATTTATGTGGCAGCTCTGCTAATTGCTACTCTTGCCTTTCATACCCCCACTTACATCATTCACCCAAAATAAAAGGAGAACTATGACTTCCCTTAGTTTTCCCAAGTGACGGTCTATCTCTTAGTCCATATACATGTGGGTGTACAGCAGCTACTCCAGTATGTGTAACACCTGGAACTTGAACCCACTTAACTTAAAATATACAGCTGATCCAAGGTATGTTTGCTGAGGTGTATCACTTCAGAATACCAGCACTGAAACTGCCTTCTTACTTCTAGAGAAGAAGTAAAAAGGTGATTTCTAAAAGTTCTGTAATAGACACAAATAATAGTATTGCTTCCTGAAAAGATATTGCAAACTGCTTTTTTTGTTATTAAATGCTAAAATACATTTCTTCTGTCTCTTCTGCTTTCTAGGGTCCTCCAGGTCCAGTTGGTCCTTCTGGAAAAGATGGAAGTCCTGGTCCACTTGGACCAGTTGGGCCTCCTGGTGTTAGAGGGAGTGTGGGAGAAGCTGGACCTGAGGTAAGTTGATGGGAATATGAGGGAAAAGATTACCTTTAAATAATGAGATTTTTTTACAGTCCATTGCATCACTTTCTCAAACATTCGTGAGCTCAAGACAAATGGTAAGATTTGATACAGTTCCTCCAACAAATACCCAGAGTAACTGTGCATTGGAAGGGCTTGTTTCTTACTCATTTTTGTCTTGCAGACCTGTGAGAGTCCCAGTCTCATCTGCCTATGCTCTCCTTAGGCCAGTCTGGGGCTACTTCTGCAGTTAGCTCACTGGATCCTGCTGGATCTGCAGTTGAGCATGGCTGTTTGGCAAGTTGGGTCCTAAAACCTCAGGCTGAAGCATGGGTCAGTTGATGTATCTGGAATCTGGAGTAGTTCAAAGCCAGTAGTCCCACAAAGGTGGCACTGAATTAGAACAGCCATGTGACTGATGGCCAGCAGCATACTCCATCATGCACTTAAGAAATCCTTCAGTCCAAACAGCCCAAACTAACTCTCAGATCAGCTGACCTTCTGGCTGATCTGAGGTTTACAGCTGTCAACCATGAGAGTTAAAAATAGTTTGGCTGTTTTGGAAAAAGTCCTAAATCTTTGCTAAATACCTCAGGCATATTCCACATTTACCAATTCACAACACCCTAAGCCATAAAACATAAATTAGGCTATGCCAAGGAAGATAAATCAGAAAATTAGAGAGATTTGAGAAAAGGGTGATCTGGATGATCACATGAAGAATTAAGACTGGTATTGCTTGTCTTGGGGAAAAAGTGGAAAAGGTAGACTAAAATAATGAGAAAGAGAAGGCAGTTTCTGCTGCTGTTCTGTCTCATAAGAAATAACTTTTCCTGTGTTTATCATGCACTTATAGTCACCCTTTTTCATTTCAATTTTTGCCAATCGTCAGGATCTCCACTTCTGCCAAGGCACCAAGACTTGAATGGAAAGTCTGTGGCAGACCGCAAGATTATGTGTATCTAGATACTTCATCTGCGTAGTGGGACAGTACAAGAAATAGCATGTACCAGTATTTTTAGTTTTGCTTTCCATGATGGATTGCATGCAACCATAAACTGGAACCAAAAAGCAAGAAATAGGAGTTTAAGATCTCATTTGTCACACTCAGAGTGTGTAAGCTTGGGTGTGTGCTCTGTGGTAAGCATTTGGAGCAGTAGTTGTGAATTCTGAAGTAATTACTCTCAAAGGAAATGCCACATTCTGATACACTGTCTGAAGCACCAGAGCATCAAATTTCAAATGGAGGTATGTTACAGACTTTCTGCTGCCAAAGAAGAGCTGGCAGAACCTACAGGTGGAGATAATGTTTATTAACAGGTATCCTCTGTGTCAAGACTCAGTTACCTACCCAAGTGTCACAATTCAGGTTGACAGAAGGACCTCACAACCCATCATTTGGGAAAATCTACTTAGTCAGGAAAACACCTGCTCTGGCAAGTTAGGATGATGTAGATTCTATCTATCTCTCACATCCGTAGCCAGAAATCTCAGCACTGTGCAGGATGAATGTAAAGATGTTTCTAGTGCCAAATTTTCTACCCAAGCTTTACTAATTGAAAATGTGCCTGAGGTGACTCAGGGGAAACAAGAATTTTCAATTGCTCTAAAAATCACTTACTTCTACTTTAAGAAGTAAAGTTATTAGGTAGGGACTTGAACAAGGAAGGACAGATGGCTTCAAAAAAATGGAACAAGGCCATTCCTTGGTGACTTATTCTAGCTGTTAAGTCTGAAATGCAGAGTGAGATGAAGTTGAGCAAGGTATTAAGAAGGGCATGAAGCAGAGAAAATACCTCACATGTGGTTCTAATCTCTTACCTCTATTCCTGGAAATGGGAATTGTTTCTCTGTATCTGAATATTCCTTGTGCATTAGGGTGATTGGTCCTGAAGTTTTGCTTTTTTAGTGGCTGTCTTCACTATCATTTTGTGTAGTATTTACTCTGCTGTTGCCTCTATTACCCCCCTTTTTTTTTAACCTTAGGGTCCACCAGGTGAACCTGGCCCTCCTGGTCCTCCAGGACCTCCAGGCCACCTCACTGCTGCCATTGGTGACATTATGGGACACTATGATGATGCCATGGCAGATCCGCTACCAGAGTTTACTGAAGATGAAGCAGCCCCAGATGACCATAACAAAACAGACCCAGGAGTCCATGCCACACTGAAGTCACTGAGCAGCCAGATTGAGACTATGCGCAGCCCGGATGGTTCAAAGAAGCACCCAGCACGGACTTGTGATGACCTGAAGCTGT